AGTAAAGTCGGCTCTTGATAGTTCAACAAATTCTCCATATTTGTACCATAGGAAATGCATAGAGTTCAACAGCAAGTATGACGAAAATGGAATATACATACAGAAGTTAGGGTCTAGGTTCAGTTATCAAATAGAATCACCAAGAAGATCTCACCTTATAGGCCTGGGCGTAAAAGATGTGCCTATGAATGACAGGGTCCTCACTCTCAGGGAGTTCTTTTAACCCAACAATAAATGCCGCCTTAGGGGCACTTGGCCAGGAACCTGAAGGGGCCATCTCCACACTAGGAATACTGTAGACCAGACGTTTTTAAAATTAATATCAATAAAAAAATTAGAGCAATACATCCAAAAATATTTCAATCCTTCTCTCACCAAAGTGATTTTTACAATTTGTTTACCTTGCATATTCCTCGTCCTTGAAGATACACTGCTCTGAGTGTTCCACTGTCAATTTAAAACCTTGACCAAAAACAAAAAAGTGAAGTACTGTTGCATACTACATATATTTTATTCACCAAATGGGACGTCTGCACTGGACTGATACTATTACAACAGGGAAGGTTTCGTAGTCAGTAGTTAAATGCCGACTGCTTGTTAGACTGTAGACTTGGCCGGTTTTTGGGTCCTCAACAAAGACAGACCCGCACACACTCTAGTCTTGATTACATCTTTCTACATTTTTGCATATCACAAGGATCATATTTCGGCTTTACATTAATCTAGTAATTGATCTATTCTTAAACTTAGGATGACAGGTCAAGCTTCAATGAGCTAGGGTCACGCTTTCTTTCTCGTCGTGAGATGTCGTTCTTACCACAAGAAAACAAAATTGATATCTTTGAGCTAACATGTAATTTTCTGTTTATCAAACAGACAAGAAATATGCATGGTAGATTTAGAAAAGCTGACTTCAATACAAATACTGGGTATTAATACTTATCGCAACTCTTGAGAGCTGTTAAGAAAGAGCAACTGAATCCATGCAAAAATCAAACATAGCATGGCAAAGTTAAAAAACTAAAATTCGCTGTTCTTTTGTAGACAAGCAGCCTTTAGAAAGTAGACAATTGCTGCGCAGTTTTTTCCTTAAAAAAATTATTTGCCTCCGAAAAAACGAAAATGTTTCGTTTTCAGTCCCGGAATCGATTTGGCGACAACGAACAGGTTTAAAATAGGTCATGATTCACTCGAGTCGCGTATCAAAAAAACTACGCTAGAGAAAGCTATCACAGTTCCAAGTTGTTGTACAACTTGTCATTGTCTAAACACCGTGATTTCATAAAGATTACATTAATTCCAGTATTCAAGAGAAGTCAAAAGCTTATGGCTCTCCTGTGTTGCGTATAACGGTAGGCGAAAAACAACGATAATTTTTAGCATTTGCCTTTGCTCAGAATTTCGTAAGATTACGAATGACAATACTAGAGTTGATGATCTTTCAGAATATGTAAAGTTTAGTTTGGGGAAATGAATTTGGAATTTTTTACAGTTTTTTTAAAATCGTGAAGAAAGACAAAAAAATCAGCCCATGCTGTTGTGTACATGTGACCATCAAGACTTAGTTCTCATTAACCGAGCGGGAGGTCTGTATGGGGGAATCTTGACCGAGGTCGCCAGTACAGACCGAACGCAGTGACCGAGCGTACAAGCGACCTAGGTCAAGATTCTCCCTTACAGACCGACCTAGCTCGGTTAATAAGGTGTTTATTATATGGCTGTGTCTTATATGCCAATTTTTTATATTCTTTTTACCTTTTTTTCTAGACCGGTCTAGATGTCGGTCTAGATGAGAAAATCTAGACCGGTTTCAATATTGATCTCAGCCAATCAAATTCGTGAATTCGGTAGTTCCCAGTCCTTGTGAGACACAGCCATATAATAAATTGATAGAATAAAAATTAACACGACTCCGATGCATGTAGCAATTGAAAGTAAATATAATAACCTTAACTCAAATATTATATTCTTAGCTGTCCATATGAGTACAGAGTTTCAGTCTGTTTAGCCGTTTTCTCCAATCTGC